TCGGCACACCGTACACTGCCTCTGTGTGCACTGCGCCAGTTTAGCTATCTACAAACAAAAACAGCATCTACTCTAAGCTCCGTATTACATTTTTTATACAACTTATAATAACAAACATGACCAAACATGCGGGCGAGCAAACATACAAATGATATATATACACATCTGCATTATAAATGGATATCTCTCTCTTCAGTCGTACACTCTTGGCAGAGTGGTCGTGGTTTTCACAATGACGGTGGATCGTCGGAAATGAATATACACATGTACATTTAAAATGTCACGATTACTATTAGTCTTATTTCATAAAAAATACCCTATAATTTCTGTGTCCTATAATCTGAACGCTCCACGAATCCGTACGAAGAGTAAATTTTCGAAATTCGGAGTAAAGAGGTCCTGGTGTATATCACATTGCATGACAATCCGTCAAGCCATATAGATATCAAGAGATAATATTTTTTTAAGAAAGTCGGAACGGTAACCACTCTGACGACTCACTTGATAGAAGGTGGCAACTGTCTGCTATAGACATAATGCTTGTAATTTCAATGCCATATTCCGCCTTTCAAACCGAAATAAAGCCATGCAAGCATAACAAGTGTGCTCCAAGCATAGAATGAATCTTCCTTTTCCGTGGGTGTCATAAAAGGCCACTAAGGGAATTTAATGGTCAAGAAATGGGCAGCAGCGCTCTTCTTAAAACGTCGCCAAAGTCTAATTGCGGTTGCCAATCCGCCTGCTAAAGCAGGCAAAACCTATTTAGTAAGGAAGGCATATGTTCAGCAGTGGTCAGTTAACGGCTGATATTATGTTGAAGCATAGCTGCACTATGGCAAAAAGATGAGTATAATATTATAAATATATATATAACATCAGTAGCTTTTTCCCATTACTTCGTACGCGTGGTTACAGAAGTAAAAAAATCCATGAAATAGACCATTTCCTGTCGTATTAAGATAAAACATACACCAGACTTTCAGTTAGATCTTCAAGAACACAACTGTGGAACTCGCTTGTAATTTGGTATACTACCTTTTTCCTGAAGCGAGAACAACCATACAGACAGACCGACAAAATATTTAAAAAATATTCTATTGAGTTCTATTGGTCTTATTAAGCCACTCATTTTTTTAAAAATATCTCCTATGTACAGATATCGTCCAGTTACCTTAATATTTATTATAATAGTTATTTTATTAGTAAGATATGCTAATAAATTTGAAATTCATGAATCTATCAATGTACTTTTAAAGGTCAGTGGAGGTCGATTAATAACACTTTTATCTTCACAAATAAAACACGATATATTTTATACTACTTATGTTAATGTACGCCTACTGGTGTCAAGGGAGACGATTTCGTTATACGTGTATGTACTTAAAGGTCTCTGATAAAGGTTGACTTAGGTGCTCTTAATAGAGCAAATGACAATGATATTTAAATTACATAGTAATAAAAATATAATAAATTTAGAAAACTCTATCATTAAATATAGAATCCTTGTTAAATAAGCTATTCTATCTCGTGATTATAATTGGCATCGAGATTAAGCGGAATATCACTAATCCAAATATGTAATAATATCCTTTCTGTATGCGGTATAATTAGTTATAACATAGATAAGGCGATTAAATATAATTGGCTGCAGACATCTACTACCTACTGACTTGTACAATCATGCAATGAATACCGAAAAAGTTGACTATTTCACATCTGTAAAACAGGATGAAAAGCAAATAGTTTTATAAATGTTTTATATAGCAATTTGCGAATTCAACGTTACATTTTATTTATGAGTATATATTTATTTATTTCCTTGTTTTTTAAATTATTATAACATTATGACAGTAAAAATCAAATCAGTGTTATAACCCCAATGTATACATACAAAATTATATTAATGGTATTTAACCCAACTTTAGATATTTTAGAGTCGATTTGATTTTACAAAGTTAGTTACTAACCAAAAGCTCTTCAGTTCGATTATCAAACTAGCATAATAATACTACAATACATTTGATTTCATCCAAGTTTGATAGTAGTCTTTTTTTTTTATACAACTTAGAATGGCAAACAAGCTGACGGTCCACTTGATAGAAAGTGGTAACAGTCGCCTATAGACATGAGCGGTACCATGGACATAATAGAGTATACTGTTTCGCCCATGATACCCCCCATGCGTTGCCATTCCTAAGGACTCAGGTGTTATTCCTCTGTACCCAGTAAATTCACGCCATATCCCACCCTTCAAACCAAAACACAGCCATGCAAACACAGCTGCTTCACAGTTGAAACACAAATGGGACAGAGGTACCCAAGCAATCGACTTTTGTACAAAATCTCTGTCTGGTAGTCTATAGTCGTTTGATAATAACAGTACCTTATAACATGTGGATGATCTGTTAAATTTTAGTAATTTTTAGTACTAAAATCTACAAACTGATGAAAATTTATTATTTTTAAAATCAATCATAGCTTTTATACCATAAAGTGAATCTAATTTTATATCTAGACCCAAAAAAAGCTTTTAAAAACTCACCTAATAATGTTCTCTGATGCGTAAAATGAATTTGTCAGTCAACTTAAGCACTAATGTATATTTTAACTATCTCTACTCGTATATATTCATGTTATATGCCTAATCTAATTTTCGACGTACCAGCGTTGAATCTCAAATATATACGGTACTAATTTTTACTCGTGATTTAGTCCGCATTATCGGGAAATATTATTTGACTGGAATAAAAAGTTATCTGTATCCTTTTCCTTTACATATAGTACTTGTATAGTAATTTTCATAACAACTGATTAAGCTATTAAGACGTCGAGAGTTAACAAATTTTATTTCCCCACCCCGGCTTCGCACGGGTGCAATTGCTAATAGTAAATAGCGTCGCCGGCCCTCCATTACATTACGACATTAGATTAGAAACCTCTAAACTTATCAGTGTTTTTCTACTATACTATGCATGTATTATATAATATAAACCTTCCTCTTGAATCACTCTATCTAGTAAAACTACATCAAAATCCGTTGCGTAGTTTTAAAGATTTAAGCATACACATGGACGTAGTAAAGTAAAGATAGCATAACAAAAATGTGTTGATTTACGCGAAATAATATTTTAGAATGTTACATATAATAATATTTGCGATTTCCCTTGAAATATATATGTTCACCTATTATATATCGAACGCATTGCTTTCCCACACGCGTCGACAATTTGAATTTACTGATCGTTGAACCGTTAATAATTGTATCACGTTCAATATTAAAAGCAATTATAGTATTTCATTACGAAATACGAAATTATTGCTAAACTGATTAATTACATTGTCATTTCATTAGTTATTATGGTGTTGACTTGAGAATTTAAATTATTACCCAATTTATTTTATTATTTACTACTTTTTATACGCGGCTTTACTGTCCGCGTTTATTGACTGAAATAAAAAGTGATCTAAATGTTTCTCCACACTAAATAATAGTATTTGGAATAGTTTGTATACACAAGTATACGAAAAATTTTAAAACTATTTATTCAACTGTTAAGGTACTAAAAATTTACTTGTATATTCATAATATTATAAAACATGAAAGATTATAATTTTTTGTCGTTAGGGATGATAATTCGAAAAATATTTAACCAATTTTAAAAATTATTTCACCTGTAGACAGATACATTATCAGAGAGTAATTTAAACTACATTTTATTTAAAAAAATTATATCTATAAAGGTCGGTCAGGTTACTAGTATTTTGTATTTCAAAGACTATTATTATTATATACATATTTATAATAGTAGGATATATATCAGCGAATGTTTCAAATTATTTCCTCTAACTATATATACGGCTTATAGGTTACGACCACGATAAGCACAAAGTACTGAAAGATGATGGAGGAAAGATGGAAGTTTATTATATAAGTACTTGACATATACTGTCACTTACTGGGGGATTAACGATAATACCAAGAACGCCGGGAAAAGTATACCAAATAATCTGTGCCGGATATTTTTATGGAACGCTACAAAAGTAATAACGCAATAATTATAATAAAAATCCTATAAATATTATAAATATAATAGTTTGTAGCGATGTATGAATGGACGTTTGTTCGTTACGATTTCAAGCAAAAACTATTGAATGAAAAGTACATAGTACTTTATACACTGAATTACGCGTGTGCAGCTACAGGATATAGCCAGTATATAAATATATATTCTAATGTTCTAATGACTATGATCTCTGAAAGGGCGCTGTGGAACAGTCTGAAAGGACCGTATAGTATGGAAACACAGTATCTTTATATATATATATATTACATATTATCACTACTAGTAGTGTGGAAACAAGAGATACACTGCCATCGATCTTTATATATATATATATATATATATATATATATATATATATATATATATATGCAAAACAGAAAAGAAGAGACTGCATATAATCTGCAGCGAATAAAATAAGACAATTACGATATATATATATATATATATATATATATATATATATATATATATATATATGCAAAACAGAAAAGAAGAGAGAATAAAATAAGACTTCTTTTTTAATAAAATAAAAATAACCAAAAAAATGACTCAAGCACCGGTACTTAGGTGCATTTGTTGATAAACATAACACTCCAGTTGAACACATTTTACGGAACATAATTTAATTTTATATTCCAACAAGCGAAATGAAAGCCTACTCTTGACGTAAATTATTTTATTAACAGTGTCTTCCATCACCAGTGAGGTACCTAATTGGAATTTTAAATTGACCAACCAAATTCTTGATGTTAACCAATTTTGAAATCGTCATGAGTTCAGTACTTTTTTCTGTCACTCTTAGATTTCTTTGCTGCAGAAAAACAAAATAAGAAATATCTATATTATAATAGTTATAATATCCTAAATCATTGCGCAATAAATTCAAACTATTTCAATAATAGATCTATCTAAATTCAAATATATTTAGTTGCATACCTGGAGCCTCTCCATCATATGAGAAGTTGGGCACGAGCAGTGTCTGTGCATCGACCACTACTACAGGGTCAGAAGAAACACCATGAACGCCTCGGAGCGCGCCCACCTTCGCGGGCTTAGGATAGTCCAGATCACGGGGTATGGACACGTCACCGAAGTTCACCTGGACATAAAACATTAATATAAAAATGTATAGAAAGAAAATTGAACCACTAAATGTATTACTGAGCGTAAAACTCAAGAACTAATATACTATGGATTTTTTAAAAAGTTCTTTAAATATCGTGGAAAATTTTTATAAAGTAAAAAAAAATAGAAAAATTTGCCTGGAATTACGTAAAACCCCCTCTTTCTTTTTCTGATACGAATTATTCTTGAATTCAAGCATTTCATCCAAATATGAACGTCAAACATATCTCATGAGACATCGACGTCTGTCGGATCAGCACATTTAAAATAAAATAAATGAGCCTATAATTATTATTATTAGTGACTAGTTAGAGGCATTTTTTGACTGTTAACATTGAGGTGAGCATCACACTCGACATTCTCGTGGTTTCGTCTAGCATATTAGAATTTACCTTATAACAAAGCCTACGCAAGCAAAACCTTCACTTGGGTTTATTTGGTTTGTTAATTAACATTAATCTTATCTATTAACGCTAGTTAAAAATTGAAACCGACACAGAAAGTTTTTTGTGTAGTCTCTTTCAACAAAACCAAATAAAAGGGTAAGCGAGTTTTATTGCAGTTATCATAAAAACAGTCCCTTAATTAAATTAGTAACTAATCAAAACAATCTATTGTACATTAACAGACTGTCTTATGTTTGAGTCGACTATTCATTTAAGGCTTTGACTATATAAGCCAGGTGTAAACTCTTGACCTTCGTAGTCTGTGAGTAGGAGTAGTTTACCACTGAAAACCAATGCTCTCAACATCTACTGTCAGATTATCAATTATCAAACGAACTGAACGAAAAAATGTATCTGTGTATATCAATCGTCTAGTTTCCATAGTATAAGCTTTATTTATGCTAAGACTAGGTGACGTTATGTTCATAACCAAAATTATATATTTAGTGATTTTATTCAGAAAACTTCGTGTGGCTCCGGTATAGAATAGGCTACCCCTTATTTTTTAGTGGGTATCGTATTAGGTGACTAAGAAAACTTAATGGTAGAGGGATGAGCAACAGCAGCCTCTTACAAACATCGCTAAAAACCCAACAATGCTTATCGAACCATCTGCTAACCATGGCAACTACTAGCTAAACTCTCCTCATGGGAAAAACTTATGTTCAGCATCAGACAGTCAACGGTTGATATGAAGATGATTTGGATAATTCTGTTCCCACAATCTACCGAACCAAGAATCGAATCCAAACACCATTCATGATAAGCATTTTGCCAAACTACTACACCACGGCTATTCTTACCCAACTAAAAGCAGAATACCACCCGTGGTGTGAACAATGCGTCGAAATGTACATCCATTAGTTCACTACAGAAGTAGCTAATGGAATACATTGAGTCCTAAGTTGAAGCGAAACTGTACTCTAGTACTGACCGGGTTGGGGGAGGCAAGCTGTTGCTAATGTGATTCTGATACCATTTATATTTTCTATGTTTCGTATGACAGACGAGGAATTAAGGATACATATATAGTCTGTATGAATGCTATTGTGTATAATGTGTAAATATATGTTATTTTCTTAATGTACTCGTAAGTTTAACGCAGGTTACACTCGCGATCAAGTGGACCGTCAGCTTGTTTGCCATTCTAAGTTGTATAAAAAAAAAAGTTTTGTAGAACTTTTACCGAAACACTCTCTAAATGAAATCGATAACAATTCAATCAGATATTCGATTTTTCATTTGGACTATTATTGGACATCGACGAATAAAATTTAACCAAATTAGAAATTGTCTTTTAGTCGAGTCGATTATTCATCGTATTATATATCGTATTATAGCTACAAAAACCGCCTACCACCATATACATGTTTACCATCTTAGTGATATGAAAAAAAAACCTACCTATACCTGTCTAGTATTAGTATCTTATTAATATAATAAAACTATAACTAGATGATGTCTATGCGTGGAAGAATTTTAAGAAAAAATAACATGAGTGGTCTTAATAATAATAGATGCCAAAACAACTTTTGTTTAAATTTTATCTGTATGTCTTTGTTTCTGTCTATTGGCATATTTGTTCCAGCATCACGCAAAAACTACTGCAAGTAATGGATACGATTTTCACAGTTGTATTCTTGAAGGTCTGATTTAAAATCTGGCGTATATTTTAACTCGATACGTCACCCAATAGTAGCCTACTTTATTGGTTTTCCTACTTTTGAAATCCACTCGTACAAAGTAGCGGACAAAAAAAAACTAGTATATAATAATGCCGAAACATAGTATTAAAATAATTCAAACACGTTCAACCACTTTATGTGTCATCTACCCTTTACCTATTTATTAGTCTGGCGTCCAATGATGACGTAGATATTCGTTTTTTCTACAGCCATTAGATATTCGAAGAATTTTATTATAACATATAAAATAATTATGTGACCACTGCACAACATTAATAGCCTGATATAAATAATAGTGGCGCTTAATAGGAACGAGTTTTTAGTCAATAAATTTATACATGTATTGTAAATTATTTGCATACCGCAAAAAGTAGCATTTTATTTTTTCCTAAAACTTGTAAAATAAAAATATAACAGAAATACTTGTTAAGACATTCCTGTTTTCTGTATTTCCAATATTAAAAATATCCAATTTTTTTTAGTTTTTATTACTTGACTTACATAACTTAAAAGATCATTGAATAAACTATGATGTCCATATTACCCTCATGCGTTACTATTTCTAACTGAAGTGTTGTGCAATGCTAGTGAATGACTGTAATTCCAATAAACAAACTAATAAATTAACTGTACCATATGACTGCTGTTTTTTTCCATTGCTGGATTCCATGATTGATCACGATCTCATCCGATGGAAAGCGATAATGTGATCTAAGATGGAGCTTGCAAGCCCATGAATAGCCTATTCACACCTTAAATTGGTGCAAACATAAGCAGGGAGAGAATTCCATCCTTACGCATGATGAAGGAAGACGCAAAATGCATCGTGTGTTTAAATGGTGAATATATTTCCAATAGTTTGTGACTAATTTAATTTAAATAGTGTTTCTGTAATAATTTCCTTGAAGTTTTTTATTAAATTCTATTGAAACTGATTATATTTATGTAACATCGACTGAATAAGTATAGTAATTGTTAATTAATGTTAATGCGAGGAATGAGTAGCAGCGTCTTCTTAAAACATCTCTAAAAGCCTAACTGCGTTTGCCAACTCGCTTGCCAAAGGCAACTACTAGCAAAACTCCTCTTATGGGGAAAACTTATGTCCAACAGTGGATAGTTAACGGCTGAAATAATAATAAATACTACAATTTCACCATGTGGCCTGGCATAGAATGAGCTATCCCTTCCGTTCTCATGGTGGTCGTAAGAGGAGACTAAGGAAACTTAATGGTCGACGGATGGGCGGCAGCGTAGCCCTCAGTTTTTTTTTTTAAAATAACCCCGCCTGCGCACGGGAACGCTGGCGGAGCACCAGTGAAGGGTGATAGATGAGAATGCAGTTGCCAACCCCGCTTGCCAAGCGTAGTCTCCGTTACTAACAACTCCCCCAGCTAAACCTCAGAAGCAAAACCTCAGAAGGAAGCTTGTGTTCAGTAATGAACACTTAACGGCTAATATGACGATGATGAATATTAATTATAACTAATTAGCTATATACTCATATGCATGGAGACCCATAGATACAATGCACAATGCAGACAGTGTCACAATCAACCACTAATATCCGTGGCTATTATCCATTTTCTTACAGATTTTCCTCCATTATGTGGGTCTACTTTTTTGCAATTATGCTATCGTGGAACTGCTGACTAATTGTCTGCTTGTGACGTCGGCAAAAAGCTCTCCCGAATAGCGCTCGTAATAAAGTGGGTATTATGTTTGTTTCAGATAAGACGCTTTAACCGACATCATTTCTTTTGTTCTCAATTCATTTTTATATTTCACAGTTTTTGTTCTGCCATTAAAGCATAGACCATGAAACTACAAAAGCTGATAATATGTATACTTAATTATAACTCGTCTTTAATGTTTTGTTTTTGGGTTAGAAAAACAACATTTACAATTATAATATTTTTTTTTTACATTATAAGTATATGATATAGTTGCGTGAGAGTGAATTGATTCGAAGTTAATGTAAAAATGTGAAAAAATATGCTAGAATATTTCGGCCACATACTCATAACAGGAATATCACTTGTTAAAGAAAAATGCTAAAATGCAGTTAGTTCCAGAGACCTATGCTGGTCGATGTATCATGAATAGATAAATCCAAAACCAAGTAAATACTTGACGATATGAAAATTGTTATCAAGAAATATGTGTAAGGACATATTTGACCCTTCTTCAAGCTACCTCTAGTTTAAGAAAGGTATCTAAAAATATAGACTACCTACTATTGAAAATGAAACAACTGAATAACTTACATTATTGAAAGCGTAACCTAACTGTTACCTTAAGATACAAATAACTGTTAAATTTCTTTTTTCTTTAATAAAGCATTAATAAACAATTAGAATAAGCAAATAAATAAATTTTATGAAATGTACCATGCCAGAAATTCTTAGTCTCGCAGATATTAACGTCTATAAATTAACGTCACACATTTTACACTTGTGCAAAATGTATTGCTTTATTACATATAACTCTTAGAAGAGAATACGTAGACTTACATTTACTTAATGAAGTTGACAATGAAAATATTTTCTTTATAATCATTTTCTTTATACGATGAATCATATACAAAATTAAATGCATCTCGATATAGCTGATGTTGACTGTGCGTTATTTATCAATTTCATTAGTATGATAGCAATAGTATTAGTATAATATCAATAGTATGATAGCAAGCAGGCTGGACTGTGTGTACGTTGGTCACTGCTGCGCAATTTCCAATGGAATTGTGCAGCGGTGATTATCTGTATACTGCTTAATATATTGTATGTGTGTAAGTGTGTATTGTGTATGTAAATTTACTAACATTAGTTTTTAAGAATATTGTTACTAATAAATATTTAATGGACCAAAAAGTCTGAAATAAAAATTATTATTATTATTAACTATCTCATTCATTACATAAATAAAAGAATTACAAAAAATATTTAAAATACGGCCGATAAAAAACCTCGTCGAACACACGATTAAGATTGTTGAATTACTCACCGAGTACTCGTCGCAGTACACTGAGAACCACTTGAAGTCTCGCAGCGTCTTGCCATCAGGCAGCGAGAGTGTGACGCCCTCTCCTCGGTACCTCCTCAAAGGACCGCTGCCGCCGCGCTCGTCTCGAAGCCGCAGTGCACCCACGTTCGACGGCGATTTAGCGGTGCCCACGTAGAAGTATGCAGCTGTATATAAACATATTATTGTTAATCTTTCTGATTACCTTGTTTACTAATATAATTAAATAATTACTAGGCAATAATAATACTAATTACTAATAATTACTAATATAATTAAATTATTACTAGGCATAAATAAATAAATATCTATATATATAATATATAAGTTAAAGAAGTTAAATTCTTAAGAGCAATAAAATAAACGAGATCAGCAATCAACTCGGATACATAAATAATATAAGTATGACTCTATACTCATAATTACATAATATAGGAAACCATTATCTGTTTCAGAGAATTACAATGAGTACATAGAAATTAATAAATTGTAGATTTGACTGAGCATATCCCAGCACTTTCATCCGATGTCGGCACGGATGTCCGGTCCGGATATAACCAAATCTATTGAGAATGAATTCAATTACGCACTCAATATATTAAGGTAATCTGAATTATTACCTACTTCTTTAATAAATATTATAAGTGTCATTGTGTTGATTGGCTACACAAAAAAATCAAGCCGTTCTAATATTATTAGAAGTATTCCAAAAGTAAAATTAAGGATCTCTTAAAGATACAAAGATTAATGGCTAAAATTAATTCAGATTGAGTATCCTTATTGTCCGTATTTAATATTATAAAAGTGAAAGTAAATTTATGACCTCTTAATGAATTGACAACTTAACCAATTACTATGAAATTTTAAATACATGTACTACTAGTGGGATGAAAAAGGACATATACTATATATTTATTCCGGTTAGTGAACATATCCCGGTAACGCGAACGAAGTCTCGGGTAAAAGGTCGTAAGTAATAATTATGTACTAAAGTTATCCGTGTATGAGGATCCTTCCTTTGGTATCTAAAGTTTCTAAACCGCCTTTATTGTACGTGAAACCTCTATACATTATGTGGAAAGGATTTTGTCCCTCGATTTCTAAAGAGAATCTTCATTTAAAGTAAGATACTTCAGATGGTCCCGTCATTTGTACAGGTAACTCAAAATATATAGTTATTACATATATATAATATCTATATATTATTTTTCAGAAATATCATATTACCTCTTTCATTTACATTTATTCCAATATCCCACAAAAAAAACAGACTTCAAATATGATAATAGCAATTATTTTCCCTTAAAAACTAAACTACTGAGCAGATTTACGATAATTTCTCTGTGTAACCAGTCGGTAAATATATCCTTTATAATAAAAAAAAATCTAAATCGATTTCCAAATGACGAAGTTATAAGATAACAGACATAAAAAAAATACAACCGAGTTGAGAACCTTCTTTTTACGGTCGGTTGATAAGAAAGTTCCGCTGATAACAAAATATGCGGACAACTCAGCATCTTGCTTGCGTAATATAAGTTCTGTAGTTTCTAAACTTGTTAAGTCCGAGTTTTTTAAATTATAAGTTAGTATAAGTAGTAGTACCTACTACTTTATACAGTAGGTGCCATTGCTTAATACTTATACTGTGCTATTATTTATACTGTGTTGCAGTTGACATAAACTGACACGGTACATTGACAATATTGCATAAGTACAGCCTCTCGTCCTTGAATAAATGAATTCTTGCTCTACAGACTTCTATACTTTTCTATATAAATGGCTACTCTCTGCTCCTGTAAAACTAGCTTCACTACCTTCCTGGACTCAGTTATGACTGTTTAAAAAGTATTTTCCTAATCAGTTTATAAATAACTGAATTATGAGGTACGAACATAAAAAATATACAATCGAATTGACAACCTACGCCTTTTTTGAAGTTGGTTAAAAAAATAAAGCACTGCTCCCTATACATACAAAAGTCATGTATTAATTTACTAGTAGTGACAACTATAGTGTAGAATAGTGATTACGTCGGTTTCCTTTGATAGCCAAAGAACTCTCTAACCGTATAGTACACTGCTATCTAATAAATCACCACTTCAGTATAAGAACTATGCACTATGCCACTTCGTGTTCTCTACCGCCCCAATAGCTATCTATCAATCTATTCGCGAGAGAAAGTGACGGGGAAGCGTCGCGTCACTCGTACTCCATTATTTATCATCGATAAAGTAATCAACTGTGAACTAAATATGTATACAGTTAAAGCTGTATTTCCATTAGCCCTATTCACGCTTTTTATACATTCGAAACAGGTATAATTGAATCAATCAAGTGTTAATTAAATTTAAGTTGGATCGGGAACTCGTCGATAAAGCTTTTCTGACAGTACCCTACACTTTTTAATTAACATGTCAGAAAATTAAACAATAATACATATCTAGTGAATTAGTTTATTATAATCAATACTCTTTCTGATATTTATAGTAAATTTTTGTATTTGCGTCATGTACAAGACTAGCGACGTATAGAAGACCTACGGCTTTATAAGCATAATTATACCTTATGTAATGAATGTACGAAATTTCAATCATATCCGTTCAGCTGTTTGAATCATACCTAATCCAGACTTTTCTAAGAAACCCATGTAGAGAGACCACAGACAAAAACAGATAAGCCCTAAAGAAGATAAAGAATAAATACAAAACCATAAAGATCTCTAGTCTTACATAACACTACACTGCGCCGCCAAATTAGTGCAGTAGTTGCAGCGTAATGCCGGAACTAACATATAGACAGACAGATGAATACAATTTCTAAATATTATTGTTTTGGCTTCTATTTTCGCTTATTAAGATCCCTCCTATCATTTTTTTTTCTTAAATATCTTCGGCTAGTTACAATTTTATTATATTAGTAAGATTTAATTTTAATTAAATTAATTTGATTTTGTTTAAAACTCTAGACAAAATTAATAGAATGAATGAATGAAAATAACCAATCGCGAAGCATTGATTACTGCACATTTGCATCGTACAAATAATATAGAATAGGAAGGAGGGGAAATAATAATATTATTATAGTAAGTCTAGTCTAATGACCACAGTGTTAATAATATACTTTCTTAAGTCAACCTCTTGCGGTTCTCCTGTAAACCATCGTGGTTAATTCGCGATAAATTCGTTACAATGGACGGACCCTATTTCATCGTCACGCATCATATACCTCACTGCTACCCCGCCAACGTATAGCGATAATGCAAACGGAGTTACCATTCCACTTTCATATTAGAACAATTAAAGTTTGTGTCGCATAAAACAAAACCGATTTTAATTGTTAAAAAAAAACAGTTATTTTGATCTAAAAACTAAATTACTGAACAGACTGTGATTTTTTAAAAAACTCTGTAAGTGTACACTTGCAGATAATTTTCCAATCGGTTTAGGACTGACGGAGTTGTAAGGTAACAAACATACACACAACCCAATTAAGTACCTCTTTCTGTTAGCAGTTAGTCGAAAAGACAGTATTGAGTTTCAGATAACAAAGTACCTGTTGTGTAGTGTAAACTGCACGCGATGGAAGGCAGATCCGTTACAATGCATGTACAATATCATAACACGCTCCGTTACTTCACCTCTTTGTTCATGATTCACTTTACGTTATCATAGAAAATTTATTTTTCATCGACTGCAAGTAATTATATTATCTGGTTTTGTCTAATAGTAAGGTATTCATGTACCGTCTCTAAACTACGAGTCTTCTGAGAGACAATCAATTTAGAGTCTACTAAATATGTATTACTACCATGCATTAGATATATTTGTGAAGTGGACGAAATTAGAGATATATGTCACCTTCCTTTCCCGTGGGTGTCGTAAGAGGTGAGTAAAGGAAAGCGAGGAATGGGCAGCAGCGTCTCTCTTAAAACATCTCCAAAGCCTGATATGGTGGTGACAATATATATATATATATATATATATATATATATATATATATATATATATATATATATATATATATATATATATATATATATATATATATATATATAAATAATTAAAAATGAAGTTTTAAAAATAATACATTAAATGAAGTTTAAAAAACGAAGTTATATATTTTTACTGCTATATTATACAATTCTGAATCAATCCTAAACCAGTTCTGTTAAATCTTTTTGCAAATTATCCAGTGTCGATTCCATATCAATTTTGTCACAATTGAATTCACTTTTTACTAAGTCCAATCTTATATTATTAAGATATTCCTATCATATAATGCAGCATAATTTCCTTCACTGGCATGAAAATCTGTGATTGGTGCCTTTGTTTCTAACGATGCAACCAGCTATGAAATCAAATACCGACTAGACATCAATGTTAAAGTACAAACGGTGTGGTACTTAACATCTGAAATAATTACACAGCGCTTTGTAGAAGTTGCACGCTGCCGGCTGCACTCCGCTCGTAGTTAGGGTCTTGAACCTAATTTCGTTTATTCGAATCGATCTTTCGATCTTCGATTTTTTAAATCGATGTTTTAAAATATATCGATAAGAAATTAAGTAACGGAAATCGATCCATCCTGTTCTAATATACGTTATTTTATGTATCGTTTTACTTTTCCTACAAAATGTTCTATAATCATAAATTTAAAAACAATATTCATAGATACATACATTATTATATTATATATCTACAATAATGGTTTCCCATAGTTTACTTTTTTTTTCAATTATCATTTCCTGTGTAGTTATGTATGTAGGTTTCCTTCTTTTGTTCCTTTTTAGATGACAAATAACAGACACTTCATACATCCATCGAGTTCTGTGATATCGATCTTTTAAACATCGATTTTCTCGTGAAACGATCTGAGCTTACCCAATTCGAATCGATTCAAAATATCGATATTTTATCCAAGATCGGTAATCCTATTCGTAGTACACCGTACATCGTACACCGCGCAACTTGCATCGCAGTATGCGCGGCCACAATTTACGGCGGCGCCGTAAAGTAGTGCCATAAACTAGTTGGGACGTAAACATGCCACGTACAGATGTACCGACCGGTAAATGAAAAGTTATGGTCGCTTACTTCCGTTTTTGGGGTAGAAAAAGTTAATTCTGCTTTAGGTTTCGCGAAACAATCTTTTGAGCCCTAAATAATGCTACGAACTTAAATTAAGCATATAGGTATATATAGACCTGGAGTAAAGTAGTTTTTTTTCAATAATTAAAATGTATTTATGGAGCGAAAAATTATGTTAACAATTTTAACATGAAAAATAAGAGCCAAATCAAAACAATTGATCAAAATTCATTTATTCATAAGTCTAGCGTTTGTGATATAATTAATATTAATTCATATAATTATAGTAAAATTTTTTACGACTCTATTTTTTATTCACAAAAAAAAAGTAACTAAAATAAATTTATTTAAATTAACTCTTATGTATTTTATGTTGTAGTAACAAACGAAATTTAATTAGAATAATCATAATAAAAGAACCAGGTCGGATAGTTTTGTATCAACCTTGATAATTATCGTCATTGTACTGTGAATAGGATTATATGAAAACGTGGCAATTGAGCAATAAGCCGTTGTATTATGCGTGAGCCGTGCGTTGTTTGGTGACAAAAAAAACAAATAGACAAAGCGTGATTGTGCCGTCAGTTGAAGGCTGAGTATTATACAAATACTGGGAAATGGACTGTCTGATTGTACGGAGGTCACTAACATTAAAATTAAAGAGCATTGAATACACTTCTTATTATATAATATATAAACAACACTTGTACATAAATTATTTGTGGTAATAATAATATATATAGTATACGTAAGTTGGCAGTTTCAGTTGTCCTTATTTATATGTAATTTCTAACAAAAACACCTTAAAGTTCAGGGTTAGCTTCGCATAAAAGGGTAGACACAGTATAAGTAGTCATCTCTTATTATAAATTACAAATATAAATTACTATTATATTCCATTCTCGCGTCATTAAATTTTTCTACCAAATCTTGTCTCTTTTTATCTCTGACATATATGTTAAACTAGTTGATTAATAGGATTATCGGATACAGAAGAAATTACGATTATGACTAGGTATATTTCGCGACTTTTTATCTAGTTAAAATAACAATGTTAATGTTACAATATGATTTATCTGTGTACCGAATTTCAGTCAACTCCTAATAACTACTGCGTAATTTAACAATAAACAATTACAATTCAAATATCGATACAAACTTTCTAATTTATAATATTAGTAGAATAATTACAAGACTTACTATGTATAATCATTCAATTTACAAATAATATTGGCTCAATATACAAAAGCAACAAAATTAATATATTATTAATAGTGACCGATCTAAAATAGTAGACAACCCTGCCTAATATAAATATAAAAATGTACTCTGTGGACAACCCTAACAAACAATGCCGAGCCAAATATAAAGAGTAATCACACGCGCAGTGTAACAGGAAAGTTCACAAGACTAATTAATGTGAGCAAGCTTAAAACAATTCTAGACAACTGGTTTGGTTAGAGTAATTACAATAATACTGCATTATTACTGCAATTATTAGCATAGATATTTTAGTGAAATTAATTTATTGTAGTAATAGTTAGACATTTCCTGGACATCTCATTTAGCAGCTAAACAGAGCATTTAATAGATCATAGTGCTAAATGTATTTTATATACGTATTTAAAAGTAGATATTATATATATATATATATATACACACTCGATGCGACTAAAACAATTTATTAACTTATAAATTTGGAACGTAGTTGTATAATAAACATACAATTATCATTCAGTCCACGCGCTCTAATTATTTTCTCATTATAAATGTTCACACCGAAATATAGACGAAAAGATGTGATAATATAAGGAAATAAAAAATTTAAATGTGAAAGTTTGTGAAGATGTTTGTCTTCACGCTTAAACGACTGAATAAATTTAAATTTGAATAAAATTTTGTACACATCTCGGATAAATACTTTTTATGCAATTCACGCGGAAAAAGCGTCGAATACAGCTTAGTTAAAACAAATTCTGAATCTGTTTGTTGGATATTTGTTTTTTTTTTTTTTTAATTATTTTAATTTAAGGAATGTTCAGTCATAAACGTTGAAAAATTGTGGAATGAGTTCTCTGCCGAAGTTCTCCTTAGAGACTACAGTACGGGGTTCTTCAAAAAGGGTATATTCAGGTTTCTTTACGATCAGCAACGCGCAAGTGATATCCCTGGTGTTACAAACAACCATAAGCTACGGTAACCTCATTTAATATTAGATATGGTCATATGCTTGTTTGCCACCTTCGTGATATAAAAAAAATACATATACTAAAAACCTACAAATTTAATAAAAATATAACTAGACAATGTCTATACATAGTAGATATTTGAGTACAACTAATATTAGAATCTTAATAAGACAAATAGATGCCAAAACAATATTTTTTGAAAGTTTGTATGTCTGTCTGTATGTTTGCTTTAGCATCACGCAAAAACTACTACACCAAATTAAAAGCGGTTTTAAACCTTAGCTGTGGTATTAAAGATTTAACCTGATATAAGTTTTATCTTTTAACACTATCTATAAGTGATCTATTTCATTGGTTTTCCTACTTCTAAAATCAACGCGGACAAAGAACCCATATATACCATACATATTTAATTTATACATTAAAGTTTTAATAAATAAATATTTCAAACAAATAACAAGTTATTTTAAAAATATACATAGACAATTCTTGTCTTGCTATCTTTTGTTTTCTCAAAATATTCTTTCTTATAAATATTATTCACATCTTGGGAAAACTGAAATGACTGGGTGGATGGCTGGAAGTTTTTGTTGCACGTGTTCCGTAATACTTTGGAGTACGCTGAAGCATTGTTCTACAATGTTTCGATGTTGTTCATAACAGACGTCTGCCGCGCTAAGTATACGGCAAGTTTTGGATATAACAAAGGTACGCGGAAAAATATATTACCCATATATATTTTATTTAGTTTTTACACGTCTCACAAAAGATCAACATTTTATTATATGTAACTTACAAGTGCAATAAAGAATAAATAAAAACTGAAAAAGTATGGAAATAATAAGTATTAGTTTTCTAAGGCTAAATCTACCTTTATATATACAGGGTAAAATCGAAATCGTAATCATCTTTGAAGGGAGTATTCTACCAGCGAAACTTCATATTTTCATCAAAAGAAACATTGATAGAATACGACAAAAACTATTAATTCTCTCATACTAACGCGGCGTATCTAGCTGTTTAATTAGTATGAAACGTTCGAAACTTTTTGTTGATTTTTGATTTACAAAATTTCTGTTGACAATTTTAATTCCACCTGTATAACATTATGATCATACATACATGGGCCTTCGCCATCATAGTTGAAGTCCTTGATGAAGAGCGTCCGCGAGTCGACAGCGTACACGCGCCCGCGCACGCCGTGATGAAGCTCGGACAGTGCGCCGAGGTCCTTGCCGTAGTATCGGCCCTGCGCACGCACACCGCCGCACCACACTGAGAACAACAATAACATTTACATATCAGAAAAAAAGTTACTTTAAAATAAAGATGATGATAGGAATCAAGATTAAAATCATTCACATCACGTCACGTCATTATACCTTTTTTAAAACGTCACTGAGCCTACTGCAAAAATAATTTAAAACACTACTTGTCTAAACAGAATTTAGCAAAACTTTGTTTACCCATGGCAAAAATGTTCATTTATAATTTGATGTATCAAAATCTATAGTAAAAGTAACTACTTTATACGTCTATATGTTTTAATAAGATTTTTTAAAAAGAAAACAAATGGTAAGCAAGTTTTTCGAATTAAGGCACTTGAACATCATCAGTATTTATCACCCTATTTATCAGAAGTTTTACTTATTGTGTTAAGACCGCGTATTTTTTATTTAGTTTAATCTTTATTAAACAACTAGTAATCCATCTCGACTTTGCACAGGTAGATAGATAAATTATATCTACCTGTGCAAAGTAGCATTAATAATAGGCAAATTAATAGGCAAATTTTTGGTACATTGGGCTATACTATTGCAATTTTCATAAAGTTGTCTAATTTATTTGAAATTAATATCTAACCTATATTTCTGACTAATGATGTAGGTTTCTATACGCGAAATAATTTTTATAATCGATTAAATAATTTTTTACTTTATCCGTTACAAACAAACAATCAAGTATAATATTTCCTTTTTATAATATTAGAATGAATTACTTATGTACAAGTAAATGTAAAAGATAAGGTTTCATATATTATTACTTATTCGATTGAAACTTGTTTTTAGGTGCCGACCAAACAGAACAATTAATCTGTAAACGTTTCATCTGTACCCTATTATTAATCTGTATAAAGTTAATACTAGTTCTAGGTACTCGTACAACAAAATTTTCAACTTATTGAATATTAATGATTGGTCTAAGTAATAAGAAGGCTTAATGGTTCAGCGGAGTACTTGGAAACTAGAAAATTAAATGTTGATTGAAATTGGTATAGGAAATGTCGAAATGCTGCTGAATTGACTGATTATCGGGTGTGCTTAATGATCGTTCCATCCGGAACTTACGTAATATTTGGCGGGATAAATGCGCAGTACTAAGTGCTAAACTATATTAAGTACACATGCATACCCTGTTATATATATATATATATATATATATATATATATATATATATAACAAAGTACAGAGGAATAACACCTGAGTCCTCAGGAATAGCCTCCATTCCCCATGAGCGAAACAGTATACTCTGTTATGTCCATGGTACTGTTTATGTCTATAGGCGATGGTTACCACTTTCCATCAAGTGGGCCGTCAGATTGTTTGCCATTCTAAGTTGCATAAAAACAAAGTATGTAAATTTTGTTCCATAAAACACCAACTTCAATCGTAGCAAAACAGTTATTTTAAGTTCAAAACCAAACTAATAAACCGAATTTGATGAATTTCTATAAGACCAATTTGAAAATAGATCCTTTCAGATCTATAAATAATTTTTAAGTTATGAAGTAACAATAAAAAAAATACAGGCGAATTGAGAACTTTCTTCTTTTTTGAAGTCAATTGAAAAGGACAATTCTTATAGCCTAATAATACCATGACGGTGAATATCCCTATCCCTACATTTCAAAATGACGGTTGACGATCGAATGGTTAAGATACCCATAGGTAACAAACAAACAAACATAGTCGTATATAGTATCAATAAGAAATCCTACAAAGTACTATTTAGTTTTAATGTACAAACTTTTTACACGACCATAATTTGTCATCTGACTTCTGAATGGAAAGAAACATTATTTAATTCGATGTCCCGCTTATTACATTGTCATGCCATTGTTCAACGTACACTTGTGCAGGATGAATGTCGACCAAATGTCCAAAGTTCGCCTTGTACCAGTTACTCAGCCCCACCCGACTCATACCAGCCGGTTAGTCGTTATATGACAACACGCAGCCTACATTATTAACAATATTGATTTATATTTGTATATTATAATTAATTATCATGTAAAAAAGTTAGACATATAGTTAAACTAACCCGTAACTGTATGCACATGAATATACATATATTAAAATATATGTAAAAAAATATATTAAAGCGACTTTGATAAAAGGATTGTCAGGGTACACGATATGTTTGCCAGTTCTGAACTTATTTTAATAATTCATTTTTAAATCAGTGAAATTTATATCTATCCATATATAGCTTCCATTTTAATATTGTAAAAAATTTTAATTACATTATTTACTTTAGATTTAAACATCAAATTACTTTTTTTATTTTTGTTTATTTATTTATCTATGCACGTATCAAGATATAATATGTTGGACGTAATGAAATACTGCAATTGAATTTAGAATATAAATTATATTATGTAAAAGACTGGTTCGAGCAAAAACTGCACACGACATATCGAAGTTCTTTGTCAGTGATTTAAAGAAAGTAGACATCTCAGAATCTACTGCGAAACAATGTGATAATTCGTCTAAGGAACAGCAAACATATTGATCACATAACACTCGCAGAAAGCTAATGAACTACGTCACACATACTGCCGTGAAAGTGCTCTCAAGAAAGTGGTCAAGCCTTAAACAGCCTGTAAAAAAGTTAACCGTTACAAATACCAGTACAGATAAACATCGGCGACTTTAACATTAAGTTTCAAGTTAGTATAACAACTAAAGGTCAATTCTAAGGTTAAGGAGAGAACAAACTAAAATGATTATTATACTGTACTTTATAGCCACATCTATTGCATTGGACTCTCGGTATATAAGGATACGACCTAGAAATCCACTTTCTTCTCACTATGTATTATATATAACAATGTTATTATTACCTCATATTCCTTTATATGACTAACATACTTTCAACCACAGAGTTTCATAAAAAGAAAACGAAAACAATAGAAATTTCATATATATATATGTACATATATAATGTCTTCAGACAAATTAATCACTGCTCGAAACCTAATTTATTAACCTGAAGATACTTTGTTTAAAGGTGAAACACGTGTCGCAAAACGTGCATAGGCGAAATGACAGTCGGAGATCGATAGCTAATATGAAAAGTAGTAGAACTTCTAATACTTATAATATTGTCAATCTTCAAGTGTTGGCAGTCGCAAACATACTAATGGTAACCGAATTAATCAAAATACAATAATTCTAATCAAATAGCCAATGATATGGAATTCCGTAAAATAATATTAAAATTAGTAAGAAAAGTTAAATAGGCCAATTGGGGCGTTTCAACACGAATTACATTATTGATAGTCTTGACATTACTAATCGAAGACTTTCATTAGCATTAATGCTTAACTATAAATAGTTTTAATTCCGTAACGTTTCTCTTTTTCTTACTACTCATGTGATGGTGACGTCCACTGATATCAAAAATTACTACTTGACTTACCAAGAAATCACAACGTGCACGAATCAACTTTTTTTTAACGAATCAAAAATAAGTTTGAAAAAATCTCTTAAGGGTTTTAACTAGGATTCGAACATGCTACCATAGTCAAACGTCATCCAATTAAGTTGTGAATGCTCACATCATCAACTGTAACGATACTCGTATACTTTTACTAGAATTTTTTTTTTATTAGTTCAAAATATTATTGTTTCATTTTGCCTATTGTTTTAGTATGTTTGTTTTAGTGTTGGCGTCATAACAATAAAATAATTCTATAAATACTTCCAAGTGCTATTGTCTCACATCTTCTGTTCTAAAGCAACAAAGTTTATTTAATCTGTTACGTAAATTCCATTTCAGCGCATTATAAAGTAAAAAGCAAATTATTTTATAACAACTAAATGCGTCGAAACGGTTGACCTGGAAATCTAGTCTTCTTTTGCGCGAATTAAATTTTTTATTGCATTTAGTTAAACATCGTTTATAAGTCATTATAACCGATATTAAAAGCAATTTGGTATTTTTATGTACATTACTTAATATTATTACGTACTTATTGTAGTTATTATTATTATATATTAGTATTACTTATTGTAAAAGATTTTACGAGATTGCATTTTTATTTCAATCACAAATTTTATGACAAGAATTATTTTTTGTAGTTAGTAAATTTTACCCGCGACATCGTTTACATAGACAAATAGTATATGGATACCAATTTTCACAGCGATTAATCTAATCGTTAAGTCGCCAAGAGGCAGCAAGCTAAGAAACTCAGGTTCGCATTTTTTTTAAATATCAGTAAGTATATTACTCAACTTAATATAATTTTAAATACAACCTCAAATAAATTGCCAATTTTGGAGCCAAATGAGTATTTCAGCCGTGTCTTACGCACCAAGTAACATGGCGGCTGGATAAATCTCCTCTAATGTAATTGGCAATCTGCATAATGTAAAAGTGTCAAGGTTGAAAGGCTTTTCGGTTTAGTTTCATTGGTAAGGGTCAAAGTAGCAGCGTTATGAATAAAATCCCTACTAATATAAATGGAAAAGTGAGTGTTTGCTTATTTCATTGTTTGCCCATTTGTTCTTCAGTCTTCCTAATTAACTTATATACAAGTACAATATAAAGAAATGCATAGACTACTTTTATCCATATTAATCGACATATCTTAATTACACAGGCGAAGGCGCGTCTGCAAACTAGTTATTGTTTTACAAAAATAACATTATTGATAGTGTAGCAAAATAATTTATACATTTAATTATAAATAAAAAATTAGCCAAAAACGCTTCAAAGATGCATTAATAGGGTACCGAATCTGTGTTGTTAAGAATTGTAACTTTAATAAATTTCGCCTGGCAACAATATCGTAAAAAAAAAAGAAAAAAAAGATTGTCTATTGTTATCAAATGTGTCGGTAGAACGCAAGTTCGTTGTCGTCATTCTCGTTTTCGAATATTATCGCGCGCGTGCATATATTGCCGCGAATATCGTACAAATTAATATATATAATATATATCGTTTCGTATCGTTTTTAATTATATCACACATAACCAAGAGGCTGATT